TTTTACATTTTTGTTTATCTTGTGTTAAAAGTAACGACTAATGAAAGTAGTAACTCTAATGAAATTAGGTAGTTAGATACTCTTAATCATTATAAATTTACACAGTCGCTGTTAAATTTTATTAAAAAATATTCATTAAAAAGCACTATTAAAATCTCAATCTAAGAACACTTTAGTTTAAAGCAGGGTTTCTTAAACTGTGGGTCGCGACTTGCAGCAGGGGGTTGCTAAAATTTTTACTAGTTTTGATATTTCTTTAACTTATTATAATAATTTTACAATTACCAAACATTTTTACACAATGTATCTGAAAATAGATAAAAATAAGACAATACAGACAAAGAAAAAAAACAAAAAAACAAAAACGTTTCCACGCATTCTTTTTATGATATAAACGTTCATTTTCCTTGCTTTGCACTTGATGCTGTCATTTCGTCTGTTTTTATTTAAAATTTTCACATTGTTCTATGTATTAAAATTAGAAATTAAAGTTAATGACCTAAAACTGCAATAGTATATTACAAGTGAAAAAATTGACAGTTTCACTCATGTGTGTGTTGGATTTGCGCAATAGTTATGGGTCTCACAAAATGTTTGTAAATATTACGGGGTCCTGTGGGTCACGAAAAAATCTCAGTGATGATAAAAAGGGGTCACAATTGAAAAAAGTTTAAGAAACCCTGGTTTAAAGCATACACAATTTATGACATTGATTCTAAATATTAGGATAATTCTACATTAAAAGCTACAAAACATTTACATTTTGCAACATTAACACACAACAAAATATTTATGCACCTTCTTGATTTGAAAACTTCAATTTCCTCACTAGTTTCTGCAGCATCTCCTAACTTGTTAATGTCTCAACAATATACCACTGAACATTAATTTCTTTCTTTTTATGCATTCAGCTTCTTCCTCAATAATTTTCCTCTTCATTTAAAAATTTTTGGATTTAATTAAAAAATTCTGTTATTCTAAAAACTGCATGTATTTAGAAGGTATAGAAGAAAGTGCTAATTTTATTTGTTTAGCGATATAAGCACTCAAAATAAATATGAAATGACATATAGTCAGGACCGGTACCAGAGCCAGTATGGCAGAATTTTTAGAATTTAGCGAAGCATCAAGCAACAAAATAAATGACAAGATTAAAACCATTTTGTAATCTTCTATGCTTGTGTCAAGTGAAAAGAAGAGGAAATAAAGAGAAGACAAACATGTTAAGAGTAAGACTTCTACAGCCATCAAATTTTTAATAATGTAATCTTCCATTAATTATGGGCATCTGGAAACCCAAATTTGGAATTTGAAATTTGTTTTATTATCGATTTCATATTTTGTAACACTTAATGATTTTTTGATTAACAAACTCAAAGATTTCAATGGCACCATATAGGGGGGGGGAACATTTGTATCTCCAGCGAGACCCTCGGAAATTCTAAAGATATGCACATGCGATATTGCTACTGAATTGAATTTTATGGTTTAAGGGCAAAGAACATGATATTTAATAAATAAAGGTAGCACACAATAAGTTAAAAAACTGCTCCTTTGGGTGTAAAGTAAAATCTGAAAGCTTTCAGTTTTTTTTAATACACTGCTCGACACTGAAAATACAACAGCAAGAAATGAGCGGTCAGAAAGTGATGGAATTTGGAAAAAAGACAGAGACAGCAAGCATCAATAAGTGATCTCTATTTCAAAATGACAGTCAGAATACAGAGCGAGAACTGCGTCGGCTCAGTAGGATGTAAGACCACCCCGGACAACGATGCACGAAGAAACACGTCTAGGCATAAAGTCAATCAGATTGCAGATGGTGTCCTGAGGGATGACTCTCCATTCCCTTTCAACCATTTGCCACAGTTCGTCTTCTGAACGAGGCAGGGGCAGAGTCTACAACGCGTCCATCACATCTCACTGTTCGTGGTGACAGGTCAGGAGAGACGTGGCCAGGGAAGCATCTGTATACCTTGCAGAGCATGTTGGCAGATGCAAGCACTGTGTGGTCGGGTGTTATCCTGCTGAAAAATTGCATTAGGCAGCCCCTGAAGGTAGGGGATCGCCACCAGCTGCAGTACATTATCCAAGTATCGTTGGGCCGTCATAGTACCCTGAATACGAACTAGAGGTGATCTGGAATTGTAGGCAATAGCATCCCAAACCATTATGCCACGTTTACTGCAGGATTAGATCTGTCTCCACGTCCACGCCACACACGTATGTGGCGACTGTCACTGGATAAACAGAAGTGTGACTCATCTGAGAACACGTTTCGCCATTCTGTTATTGACATCGCTCCAGTCTGACATTATTCTAAACATCGGCGTCTATGCTGTGGGGTCAATGGCAGTCTTTTAACGGATGCCGTGAGTGCAGGCCACGTTCAACCTATTGACAGGAAATGGTTCTGGTCGACATGGGAACATCCAGGGTAACTTGCATGTGCTGCAGAATCGCGGTACAAGTGACTTGCGGGACCGCCACAGCTTGTCGGCCGATGCGTCAATCCACGCGTGCCGACATCACTCTGGCTGCACCCCTCCTCCTTCCCACATTTCCTTGTTCCAACTATGTTCACCATAGTCGATGCATCGTGCTCGCATCCATGTGGGTATCAGCTGCTATTTGACGTAAGGACCAACCCACTCTTCTCAGTTCGATCACCGTACCCCTCGTAAAATCGTCTATCTGCTGGAAGTGCCTTCATTGATGGTGGCCCATCATTCTCTCCTATTACACGTATCCTCTGGGACAAAAACCAACTTTCTTCGATAATTTGTCTGGCAGAAATAACAACACGAATGTTGACCATTCTGCACGTTTCTTCCCTTATATCTTATTTCATGTGCGTCAGAGAGCTGCGCATTTCACATCATTGGCATAACTCAGTGATGTGCGTCTACTCTAAAATTTGCATAAATTTCTGACCACTCCTTCTTGGTGTTACATTTTGAATGTCAAGCAGTGTATATAATATTTATTTAAATTTTTTAGCCTTTTCTGTCATTTCTTGTTTCTCTTATGTTTCCTTATCAGGGTGTAAATGAATTACAGTGAATGAAAGTGTATTTAAACCGATGTAGTGAAAAGATTAGTCACAGCATTTCGCTTCAACACATTGTTGTTTCTAACAGCTGTTTGAATTTTGAATCTCGGATTTGCATTTTTGCCCCCGAAATTTAATATGACGCTGGTGTAGGTTCATGAGTCAACGTGCTAGGTTAAATTAAATTGTGTAGTGTTGAACTACTAGCTTATCTGTAATAACTGAGTTTCACAAAAGGGCCCCGCTGTGTTCATCTTCTAGTCTTATCAATAAGTCACTAACAGACCAGTGTATGCTAGCCAAGAAGACTAGACATTACACCACATTAATACCATGAAGATGTTTTTCATTCTGTCATTTTTTTTTTTTTTTTTTTTTTTTTTTTTTTTTTTTTGAATCTTCTGGAAGCACTGCTCTATAAATCTAGGCTTTAAATTCTTCTACAGTTTTTGAGGTGCAAAATCTAAAAGAAAATTTATCCCTACCAATTCTGCAGCAGCAAAAAAGCTAGACTTTTCAGGGAAGGGGGGGATTTGATAAAAGAAAAGTGTAAAACGAATTTTTGGAAACTGTGATTTAGTATTTATTATCTTATTTATTTTTCAGATTCAAAATATTCTAAGTCGCCAAAATGGAAAGTAATGTCACTTTGGGAAAAATAAAAAGGTTTTAATGTTATTTTAATGAAATTTATCAGCATTACAATGTTCGAAAAGAACAAAATCGAAAAATTCACAGATCTCTGAATTAAAAATTTTGTACAGAAGTTGATCTTCATTTCTTTAAACATATACACACTTTGTTTTGAAAGGCTACTTATTTAATTTTAACAAAAATCATAAATCTTTTTTAATATATTACAATTTTTGATGAAGTTCATCTTTATTTAATTGAGTAACATTAAATAAGTAATATTTAGAGATAACTCTAAGATAACATTTAGAGGCGTTTAAAAAATGTTTACGAGTTCTTCAACAGCAAAAACAGAAACAATTTCAAAACTCTTATGTTTCACTTCTTGCCCAGAAACTCGAGTATCGCACTGTTTATGTTAGAAGTAGGAACGAGTTCAAACGATAATTCATCAAATGTATATTTGTCAGAGAATAACCAAAAAATATTTCTCCAAAATGCTAGTTCATACTCTAAATGGCAGTCATAAAAAACAGACAGAAATATAAGATAATTAAAATTAAGGACTTTTACGGATCAAAACTCATCCCCCCCCCAAAAAACCTAAGAACTTTTAAAGATCATATAAACCCTGAATAATGTACTTTCAGGTTTTTTTTTTTTTTCTTTAAAAATAAATAAAAATAAAATTTCAACATGCAGTGTTTATTATAGTTGTATGAGGTGGAACCATCCATTTGGCCACTCAAGCTGAAAGGATTTCCCTACATGGAATAATGAAACTATCTCTCACAAAGTCCATCCTTCTTTTTTACATAGAATTTGCTACCCTTCATGTAGTGATATAATTAACAAACCAACCAACTCTGTGATGTGACAATATCCCCAATCCTCTTATCTAGACAAGTGCATTATAAATGTTTTTTTATTGGTGATCTCATTTAATGATATTAAAATATTTGTGACACTTTCGATTAAATAAAGATGAACTTCATCAAAAATTGTAACATACTAAAAAAGATTTATGATATTTGTTAAAAACATAAATAAGTAGCCTTTCAAAACAAAGTATGTATATGTTTAAAAAAATGAGCATTTTCAAGACATGTTAAAACGTTTTAATAAGCATTACAAAAACAAATAATATTACTTGGATTTTAATATTTAAACATTGATAAAAATAAAAATGAAAAATTTAAATCATGACTTTAAGTAGCTCTTATTTAGACAACAGGAAAATTCACTTTTCATATAAATTTAATCTGTGCAAATTAATACCTACTAAGAAAAAAAAATTAAAAATTAATATACTCACTCTTTCTAAAATTGTACAGTCTTTGTCTTTTTGTAAGTAATGTTCTTGCCAAAATAACAGCAGATCTCTTAAATTATCTAAGATTCCAGCATGTTCAGATGTGGCCACAGAACAATTATCTTGATTTGATGCTAAGATGTGTAAGTATTTTGGAAGCTCTCCTTTTTTTAATCCAAACATAAGTATCACTAAAGCAGTATTTAAACAACTCACATTTTCCTAAAATTTAAAATGGATATTACTAAAAATGGAAATTGGAAGATGATTAACAACTTGTAAATATTCTATATAGCAAATGGAATTTAAAAACTCTTTAATAACTTATAATCAAGTGAGGTGGAAATAAAAAATAGAGAAATAATTATGATGCTAGTTTACAGCTATAATGCTGTGCATTTATTAACTAAAAAACAGAAGGTAGAATTTTTTAGAAAATGAAAGGAATAAAGAATATAATTTAATATTATTTCTCATTTTTAACATATTTTTTTGTATCTATGGAAATAATACACAGGAAATGACTACTTAAAGGTAAATATTTGTATAAAGTACATAGCTTACCTGAGTTAAACTGTGAATATTTATGAGCGAAAGCAATTTTTGTAAATAATGTACACGAACTTTTATACTGCCAACATGAGATAACAAAAAGCAAAGTCTTTCAGCGAAACCTACAAGAAACCATAGCATAACTAAATTTACCACACAACATAGTAAAATTAATTTCCTTAAAACATGGCTTAAAAATATTTTAAAACATCTAATACTGTACTATACATGCAAATATATAAATCCTACAACATAAAAAGCAAAGCACCAAGAAGGAGCAAGCCTTTATGAGAGAGAATGCAAATGATTAACTTTTGGTGGCCAATGACTGACTAGCTGGAGCTCTACCGCATCTGGTTAGTGCATAGAACAGAGGACATTCTAATGCCAAGGCATAATTTCCATGCTAATGTGATTTCGTTGGCCCACATACAACATACCAATGCCTCGCAGACAGGTTCATGAACAGCATTACAAAATGTCATCATTTGAGAGAGGACATAAAATTGGACTAAAGAAAGCAGGGTGGTCAAATCACAGTATTGATAAATATTCAGGCCAGAGCAATACTACCATCTTAGATGTAAGGAGGAATGGGTGAACCATGGCCATACAGAGCATCAAAATGGTGCGGTTGATCGAGAGCAATGACAGAATACATGGATAGAGTAATTGCCCAATTGGCACTCAACAGCGCTTCATGTGTCTTGATCAATAATTCAATATGTAAGGACACCGGTGACTGCAATGACCAATAAAAAGACTACTGCACCAACTGTCCCACACTGCCAGGCACTTTAGCAGTGGCGCAGGGCATATTTAACCTGGGATCTCGCAGACTGGAGTAAAACTGCTTTCAGTGATGATTTCTACTTGATATTGAGCTCCGATGACCAGCAAAGCCACCCAAGCATAGTGGTGGGATACTCCCCTGAGTGGCATTTGCCACACAGCTCGACAATCAGGAGTTATATTATGGGGTGCCATTTCACTGGACAGCCGGATCCTTTTGGTTTGTTATCCATGATATCCTAACAGCACAGCAGTATGTGGATGAGATTATATGCACTGTACTTTTGCCTTTCCAATTCACAAACCCCTGGCTCACATCTCAGCAGGGTAATGCTTGGCCGCAAATGGCATGTCTCTACTGCTTCTACAACACTTCCCTAGTGGGGCAGATCTCCCCCCTATCTAACTTAGCAGTTGGAAAATGTATGACAAGCAATCTCACAGGAAAACATTCATCAACTGTATGAGCCAATGACCAGCCAGATAAAAGCTTGCTTCAGGGCCAGAGATGGGCCAAGGCATTACTCATATTTTTTTGCTGTAGTAACTGCACTTCCTGAATAAACATTCAATTCCTATAATTCTGTTTTGATTTCAATACATGTACATCACACATACCTATTTTTTTCCCATTGGATAGCACCTTTTCTGGTATGTCACTTTTTATGATACAGAGTGTATTTGCCAAAATTGTAGTTAATTACATGTACATATATATATGTGCATGCCTTAATTACAGTTTTATAGTACTAATATTTACTTTAGTATCTAGTTTAACTTAAAAAAAAAAAAAAAAACTTAAAATATATTTTATACAGTATATTTTATGTAAACTATTGACAGTTTAAACTAATTTATAAAAAATTATGCTTCATCAATTATATTACTAATTTTTTTCTTTTTATAGCCCACGTATTTAACATCCCGCAGATGTCACATTGTTTAATGGAACTCTACTTTCAGCTGGCTTGCTCCATTTACCTACGGATCTGAATTTAGGGAGCAGCAAAATTCTTTGCACTTCTATTTTCTTCATTACTGCAGTTATTTTTTTTTAAAGGGGGTATATTTAACACTTAATTCTTGTATTTCTGTTATCAATTTAGTAAATTTTTTATAGTAACTTAACACTTAGGCTAAAAATGTGGTTATAAATATACATCAATCAGTATAAAGTATGCATATATTAATTTATCGATCAATTATCGACCACCATGTGATTTCCTAGCCTGGACGTGTTTGAAAGTGACATACAGGAATATCAGTTAATCAGGAAAACACACCTGCTTCTTCTTGATTAGATTTTTTTTTTTTTTTTTTTTTTTTTGAGGGGGGATTTCTAGTGTTTCGAATTTTGGACTTTGTACTGTGCGTACATTAGTTAATTCTATGAATTACAGGTTATGTCAAACTGGGTCTTGTTTACATTTTATTTTTCCTAACTTTTTGAATTAAATTTAATGTTTTGCTAACTATAATACATATCATATTGAGCCAAATTTTGGCAACTAGGGCGAGGTGTTCATGCAAGTAGTTCGTGAGTTTGAATGTGAAAACATAGTGTTATGGGGGATTGTAATTTGGTTTCTTAGAATCCCCAGAGCTCCCTCCCCTAGAGATATGATCTAGCCTGAACGGGGGAGAGAAATGAAAAATTACAATTATGAAGTATTGAATGACCTAATTATAAAAGTTCAATGAATTACTTTTTTTTTGCAAAATTAATAACCATAAATTTTCAAACATATAAACTACTACATTTTATGTAAATATTTTAAATTACCTGAATTAATTCTTTAAAAAAAATTATCTAATTTCTGCTGCTTTTTTTTTTATTTTCTGATGTTTGTGGGCTTGTCTTTCTTTTGTGAACTTCATAATTGCAGGAAGGTTGACTTTTATTTTCCTCATTTACAGTTGAAGAAATTTCCTCGAGAACTGCACATGCAGAGGTAGAAGCAGTTTGCTTTTCTGCTAATGTAGAAGGTTTTTCAGAGACTTTTATAGGTGACTCATCTGAAATACATGTTTTTAAGTCCTCTTGATATGTTTTCCAACTTCTGTTCATATTCAGTAAGAGATCTTTGTGAATTGGATCAGTCATTGGATTTTTTGAGCCATATTTTTCACATGAGGTTTCTTTAGAAGCCATTAAATCATATTTAATAGTCTGCACTGCATCTAGGGAATCAATCTTAAGAGAGGTTCTATAGTCAGTGACAAGTGTATCCATTAAGTTGAATGCACTTTCCACTAATGGGCCATGGAAGCAGCTAAGGCAGGCTTTGACCAATTTAGCCAATGTAGGATACTTATAATCATTTGTGAAATCATCTTTTAAATTAAAAACTTTAGACCAATATTTATCAATTGTACACTTGACTTGATTTCCACTTTCATCAGATGTGTAGAGCATTTCTTTGGTGATATCAATATCACTCTGGTATAACCTTATTTCAGCTTCTACTTTTGACTTTTCATTATCACTAAAAATATGGGACATAAAAGATGATAATTTTTCAAAAGCTAATATTGTACTGGTTTTACCTCTTAGCTCTGGATCTAATGCTGTAAAACTAATTAGATATGAATTTTTAAGGGGTAATTTCTGTTTCATATGCTGTGCTGTATTAGTATAAGCTTTCATCAGAGAAATTTGGAATTCTTTTGCTATTGGATGATTTTTTTGATAATTTCTTCAGGAGAGTGGAAGCTTCTGCACCAGTAAATATTACTTTTACTTTGCTAGGTAGATGGAATTCTGGATTTGTGACATCAACCTTTAATAAATCATTATAAGATGTGCACTCTATATTTTCTGGCTTCATAAAAAAAGAGAAAAATTTTGCCATCAATTTATAAATACTGGAATGTATTAAATGAAGCATTGGTTTTTTTTTTGTTTCAAATAATTTAATATATGTGTTGAACTCTGGTAATACTGCTGAATATAATGCCATATGCAATAAAGTTTTGTTTTGCATAACAAATAACCCATTTAGTATTCTTTTTTTCCGAGCTAAAGCATCCTTTGTGAGTTGTTGGGAATGCAAGCAAGAATACACCCCTTCAACAATTTTTTTCTGAGCTGCAGAAATATTTCTTTTATTGTATACAGTTTCAACATAAGAAAAATAATCCCCTTTATCAGTTTTATCCAAGTAGTGAAAATAAAATGCAATAAGAGCATCCCACAGATCTTTGATTCTTTCTAAAACACATAAAATGTACACCCACCTATGGTCTGGTCTCTTCAAGGGCTTAAGTTTTTTAATGGCAAGGGATTCACAGATTTTGAAAAAAATTTTCTCTTTTACTGCAGCTTTTCATATCAAAATAGATGTCATCAAACAAATCTTCTAAGTATCTATCAAAACATGAAGCAAATTTTTTTGCACAGTTATTAGCTGTGTGACATGTGTCACCATCAATATCTAATAAGTGGGGTGCTTTGTTTGATCGTAGTCTGGTTTCAACACCCTTTTTTTTTCCCACGCATGGTGTTACATGAGTCCATTAATACACTAATTAAGTTTGCCCATGGAATATTATTATCTTCAATAGTATTAACAACTGCTTTAAAAACAGCTTCTGAATTGCAAGATTCCATCTTTAGAGATGCAAAATGATGAACTACAACTTCATTTTGATTGTTGTCATAAAACTGCACCAATATTGCCAGTATACTTTCTTGAGCATTGCTAGTACTTTCATCCAAATTTAGAGAAAATGGAGTCTCCTTTAAAGTTTTAATGATATTTTCCTTAATAGTTTTTGCGAGCCCATATTTCATCTTATAACATGCAGTAGTCCTGGACATTTCCAACGAGTTTAGTGCCGTCTGATCGCGGCTCAACTGTTTGCAGAGTTCAATTAAATTGGGAGCTACATTGAAAGAAAGAGAATTCTCGGCGATAAACGAAGTTATTAATACCTCTTGGCGTGCTTTTCTTGTCACTATATCCAATGGCCGAGCATCAGTCTCCAGTAAGTCATCAGTATTTTTTGAATTAGCATAATTACTTAAAGTCATTGAATGTCTAATGCACTTTGAATATTTTATGTGCGTCACAGTTTTAGAATGATTTGTGAAAGCCTTGAATCCTTCCCCACCATACTTCAGCAGTGAGTTACAAAAAACACAATATGCTTGTCCAGCAACATTTATTTTCTTGCACCATGTGCCGATGGTATCCCCATTACCATCTCTCCGTTCAATCCAATTCCACCTAAATGCATTCCGGACACCTTCTTCTAATTGTATAATATCACTATTTATATCGAGAAATTTCATAGTGAAATTCTCTTGCGTACATAAATAAAAAAATAT